CTTGGTTTAAGTGTTGGTGAATTGGGAACTGAAGTGTCTCTTATGGGGCTCTATTTGGGTAACTAAATGAGTTTTCTGTTTTGTTTGTTTTACCCTGAAGGGAATTTGCTCATGGTGAGTTTCGGTGCAGCACCATGTCCTTCAGCCTGTCGCTAAAGGGTTGGAGCACACCAAATCTGAGGCTCTGATGCTGGGTAAATCCACATATGATTGAAAAGCCTTACACAGACAAAATGCCTGGACCTGTGACTTCTGCATCCAGGTCTGGCTCATGGCCGTGGCAGTCTCACACACACAAGGACTCCTCCTGAACTCAGGCAATTGTAAATGCATCCTGACACTGCTTATCCACATCCCTTTTTTCTTTGGCCTTGTAGCTGTACTCGAGCTGTCCTGCTGTGGCTGACAAGGATAAGGTGATAACTGTCCCTCCTAGCTGCAGGCCCACCGATAACTTTAAAGGATGCTTTTAACAGCACTGCTTATTTCTTTCCCATGGGCACGCTGCTGTATCAGCAGAAGGTGCTTTGATGGTACAAGAGCTGAAGTGCAAAACCAAACAGGTTGAGATAGCAAAGTGAAATAACAGAGCACGAGTTGTGCTCTGCAGTGAGGAAGGCAGTTGTTTGCTGGGGGGGGATGCAGTATCTCAGAAGCTGTGGGTGTACAACCACCAGAAAAAGCATCTTCCCATGGTGTGGTTTCAGGGAATTCTCCACGTGTGCTGGATGGTAGTCACTTTCCCAGGAGGTCTGCAGAAAACCTTCAGTTTAAGCATTATGCCAGCTGATGTGTATTTATAGAAGCTGGGAATAAATGAGCACACTCGCATGTACTGTTTTTCCAGATAAGACTTTCCTGCTTTGCTATACACACACGTTTATACAAGAGCAAGCAGTGCAGAACATGCATGTTGTTCATTTCTGTACAATATTTACCTTGGTTAAATCCAGCAAGCAGAGAGGAGTCAGCATGGGGCTTTCTTAGGTACCTGATAGTGAAATATTTGGGATAATCTGCACACAGTGACCCTAACGACACACTGCCTGACTCCCTCCTTGTCCCAGTGTTTGAGAGCCTGCTTTTGCATGGGAGAGGTGCAATTGAAGAGTTGAGGGCAGCCAGCAGTGTTGTTATTTTTAAAAGAAACAGCGTTTTCTGCAGAAAAACAGGAATTGTGCGATCCTTTTCCTTGTGAAATGAGAGCAAAATCACTGCGTTTAATGATGAGTTTAAGACAAGTTGCCTGCTGTCTGTCTCCCTTTCTGCTGACCTGCACGGTGCAGCAGCCTGCCCAGCACGAGGCTCTGCTTGGGGCTGCACTGGCTCTGCATGGCAGCTTTGCTTCTGCCGGTGCAAGCTCACTGCACGTGGCACCCCCAGCAAAAGCACCGTGAGGGGCAGGAGCAGACCTTACTGACACACATGAATGTTTGCAGAGCAAGCAAGAAGATTCCAGCGGCAGGGATCGGTATCTGGAGGCAATAATTTGGTTGCTGTTGTGAGAAGTAAATGTTCTGCACGGATCTTTCTCGCTTGTGAGGCTCTGGTTTGCGTGCGTTGTTGAGTCTGTCATAAGGTTGACTTTCCAAACGTGACACCTCTGCAGTGCAACACCTTGTGGTATTTGGAGCTGAGCCAGAGACCCAGTGTACCACTTGCACCCAGATGGGGCTCACAGGTGAGCCTGAGGTCAGCACTCAAGGCCAACATCAATGTTAGATGGGGAGAAACAGGGTTGGGACTTGTGATCTTGCACAGAATAGCTGTGCCCCTTAATGCCGAGCAGCATAATCTGCTTACAGCAACAAGGGCTGTTGTGTTTGCTGCCCTTAAATCACACCCCAAGGACAGTTTGCAGCTGCGGGGAAGTCTTGGGGTCACTGTATGCTGGGGGGGGGACAGCACTGTGCCAGCAGGATGGCTGCCTCTGTGCAGCTCCCCATGGCTCACCCTGTTTGCTCGGGCTTTGCAGTCTGCAGCGCCGATGGTTTGAGCATCTCTGTGGCGTGTTGTGGAAACACTCCTCTCCAGCACCCTGCTCCTCCCGAGTGTTTTTCTCTCCAAAGAGAGCTCTGTGTAAGTGCTCTTTCACAGCAGTGTTGTTTGTTGCTGTTCCCTGTTCTGAGACAGTGTTTCCAAGATGGTCATTTCCTGCCTGTTTTACAGCAAATTCTCCTGCTGAGAGACACGGAGCGGCACTGGGGGTTGAGTAGGGACAGCAGTCTTCAAGGAGATTGCCAGAGTTGTAGTGCAGTCCCACCGGGGTGAAAGGTCCCTCGCTCCTTTACCTGCAGTTGGTCAGAGGGGAGGTGTGAGCGGTGCGTGCAGAGCGGTGAGGCCCAATGTGCCCCTGCAGCATCATGGGGACAGCTTCATAAAGCCCTGGGGGTGTTTGTGGAAGGACCCAGAGGCAGAACCCACACAGCAGGGCTGTGATGGGCACCGAGAAGGAACAGCTTTGTTCGCTGAGGAGCGGAGACTTCTCATCCTTCTCACTTGCACGAGCAGCCAGTGCACAACCTCTGTGTGACTTGTGCTGCATTCTTGCCTTTGCATTTCATAGATTGGAGCCTGAGTAATTCATGCTACAAAGCTGAAAGGATTTATGCTGTCACACGAACGCTGGGCACCTTTTATCTGATGCAGAGCCTGTTCTGTTACCAGGAAGCCCTACTATGGGAAGAGACCAGTGGTGGCTGTCATACAAAGCCCTTCTTCCTTATGCCATGACAACCACCATGAAAACTCAAACCAGCACATCGTGGTGCATAGATGTACATATGAAGAGATGAGTTTGGGCAGAAATTGCTTTTCGGGGCTTCAGCTTCCCAACAGTGCAGAGCAATCTGGTGAGCTTGCAGCAAACAAATCACATGAGGAAGGTGGAGGGACAGGAAAACTGTGCTGGCAGGCAGCGGTGGAACCCTTGGCTAATGCTGTATGTTCAGCATCTGAGAGGGCTGCTGCATCCTGTCTCCCCACTCCAGCTAGATAAGGCACTAATTTCTCATTAATTTGAGTTTTGCTTTGGAACTTGCACTTCTGGTGCGTGCTGCTTGCTGACAGCAGCCTTTTGTTAGGCAGCAGAAAGAACACCTCATGTTAGCCAGAAAAACTGTGAATCCACTTTTCATTTACCACCATCATTCTTTCCAGCCTGGCTTTACCAGCCTCTGAGAAGTGATTTTTGTCTCCCTGAATGCCTAATTGGTTATTTATACACAAAACATAGAGCGTTTGCTCGGTATTCCTGATCTAGAAAAAAATTAGTCAAGAACTGTCCTACCAGATGTGAGTGTCAGTCAACATCTGATCTCCATATAATTTATAAGGCATTAAATTACAAAATAATGAATCTTTTCAGTTAGCATTTTGGCACATGATGACAGTGTTACGTTTTATGTGAGAATATTGACCGCAGCTCTCGCCCCATAAAACTGCAAACAGGGATTTGTAAGCATTGGCACTGGTTTCCCTTAGAAAAAGACACCCATTATGCTCGGGTTACAGTTAAGCTATGTATGCGCAGCCTGGAGGTTGTCCAGTCACACACAGTTCTTCCCCCCTCTCTTTTAATGTTTCCTTAAGAAGGCGAGACAGTGGTTTCTGGGCTGGATGTTTTTTCCCCTGGATTTTGCTGGAGGAAGGCAGCGGAGCAGAAGCTGCTCCAGGATTCCCACAAGAGATGTTTGCTGTCAGTCCTGTTCTGCCCCTGTTTGGCCTGGAGTGATGGGTGAGAGCAGGTCCTGCCCACAAAGCCCCCAGCCTCTGAGCAGTGTGAGAATCCCAGCTTTCTGCATCTTCCTTGCAAGCTGTGAAGGTTTGCAAGCTGATGAATGAAGGGTGCCCACTGAGATCAAGTTAGCATGGAACCCAGCTTCAGTCTATGTAAAAAAGAAGAAAAGGTGGTTTCTTTTGCATTGGAGACAAGCACTTGTTCATGTGCCATGTATTTTACCCATCAACAGAGTGAAATGCACTTTCAGTACCGCACTCTCAGCTTTTTAGTGGTTCTTTCTGCTTGTACTCTTTCTCTTCTGTCCCTATGAATTGAGCACTCCTCTCAACTCTACTGAGAGCTCTACTGAGCTCCACTTCCAACTGGTGGTTAATGGCAGGGCAGTGTGCTGGGATGTGTCCCAGCTGTCACCCATCTCAGCCCCTTCCTTCCCCAGGCAGCGCTGTGAGCTGGGCATGGACAACTGTTTCTCTATTGCAGCCTCTTGTCTCGCTTGGCATTTCGGACACAAATTATGGTAGCATCTTCTCTGAAATAGCTACATGTCATGGAAAGTGCTGAGACGGGTTCCTCAGCCAAAGGAAATGCAATTCTTAAAGCGTTTTAAATGAACGGTACGGACTGCGTGGGATGGGATGGAGAGAAAGGAGCGTGGCAGCTCTCTTGGCACAAGATGTGCTGAATTACAGGGGGATGTTTGTGGGGTCAGAGAGGAACACTGATCTCCAGGAGGAGGAAGGTGAGAACAAAGCTAATGTTCAAGTCAGACACTGGGGTCTTGCCCTCCTGTAAGGAGCAGTAGGTAAGTGACAGCCCTGCGAGTGCTGGAGCAGTGACCTCTAGGGCCCACCTTGGCTTTGGTGGACAATGGGATATTTCTCATTTGAAGTCAATGCATTGCTAAATTAACATTCCTGTCAAAGCAAAACATTTTTCTTCTGGTGTGCCAGAAAATGGATTGCTTGTAAGCTGTCGTAATGCTGCTGTAGCTCAGTATCTCATCAGCTTTGATCAGAGTGAAGATAAATGGCTACACAGAAAACACCCATTCATTTATTATTTTGCCTTTTTTTTTTTTTCTTTTCTGTTGTATCCTGAGAAGTAGCTTGATGCTATACTGTGGAAAATGTAGGTTTTACAGATCTAAGAGGTAATAACTTCATTCTTAATGTTTAGGTGGTATGAATTGGCCTATTTAGGTCAGGATAGCTTGAAACAGCAGCTGGAGAAATGAATCATCTCGTAAAACAACAACGTGTACAGGTAGTTAATTTTCCACATATATTTATATAATCTATTTCTATAAAAGGAAATGCAGAATATGTAATAAATTAATTGCAAAACAAGGAAACATTGTGGTAATGAGGAGAAGAGTGTGGCCAACTCGTTGAACTTCTTCTGGAGTTACTTTGAGATCTTTTAGTTTAATTAGTTGAGTGTACAGCAAAAATCCAGCAGGCAATTACCGACAAGATCGTCTGTTAATTGGATGTCCTCTGTTAATTGGATGCTCTGACACCAATTGTCTGTATCCAAATGCTCTTTCACAAGGGCGGCACTCCAGGGTTCTTCAGCCTCACAGTGTGGAGGAGCCTCTCATATTGGAGAGGCTTGGGCTGGTGAGAGCTGTGGGGTTCCAGGCCCTTTCCTTCAGCTGACTTACCAGAAACAGTCTCATAATCTCCTGGGACACAAAAGCCCAGGTAACAGAGCAGTAATGTGCTCCTAAGTGACATCTCTAGGGAGAGTTACAAATAAATTAAGAGACAGTTTAGTCTTACAGAATGAAACTCACTTTGAAACCGCATCATTAATTACCTTTTAGCTTTTTTTTATATCATCAAGCAACTGATCTACCTACTTTCAAAAGAATTACGTACGCTCCAAACCTTTCCACACAGTAAACTTAACGTGGCTGTATCTAGTAAAGCTGGGATGCATATACTCTTGCAGTGAAATAAGGAAAAGCCCAAAGCCTTTATTATACCTTTTTAAGCAAACATACATATTGTGTGAAGTTACTGAGTTAACATACGATGATGCGTTTCCAGAAGGCATGAAACACTGGCAGATATCTCTAAGAAGAATTAAACTTGGTATTTCCCAACTGGTCCCATGTCAACCACTGGGGAGAAGAAATGCCAAATGTTGGCATGTTCTGCATGTTCTGATTAAGGAATCTGTTCTGTTCCCTCCTTTGCTGGTACATACATTGTCACTCAGCCATTCTCTCTAACGAGTGCCATCAGGGCTTTTATATTTTGTGTTCAGCTATCGCATTCGGTGGGACCATCCCACCACAGGAACTTACCTACCTGTGCAGTTATTCCCCAGTGACTTTTATTCACTAGCAGTGTGCGAGAACCCATGTGCTCTCAAAGAACTGTTTCACGCTTGGCGTTAATCAAATGGTAATGGGGGATAAGGCGCGTGTCAGCGTGGCACTAGAAGTGAGATTCAGAGGTTGGATCTCCTCCATTTGTAATGGCCTGGTCACTTATTTCATCCTGCTGTGCTGGTAGAGCAGTCTTTGTTAGAGGGGTCTCAGTCTTGAAAAGAGAGTCCATTTTTATCTGGGTCTTTATGTTGAAAGACTTCTGGAAGGATTCTGATGTGAAGTAATAGATGAACGGGTCAAAGCAGCAGTTCATGGTTGCAATGCACAATGTGATTGGGTACATGGTCCGTGCAAACCTCTCCAAGGAGCAGTTTGCTATCGCCTGGGACCGCACGAGAGCGTACAGGAAGAGTATGGAGTTATAAGGCACGAAGCACACGACAAAAATGGCCACGTGCACAATGATCATCTTCAATACTTTCTCTTTGTTTGTCCCGATCTGAGACAAGGTGGCAGGTTTCCGGAGAGTCCTGAGAACTAAGGAAGAGCACGTGAGGTTGAGTAGCAAAGGAATGATGAACCCCACCACCTCAATAAATATAGTGATCTTAGACAAATAGGTTTTCCAGATACGTTTGGAAAAGCCTTCGAAACAGGTGGTGCTGGTGTTGGAAACATTGGTTGTGGAGAACAACGAGGCTGAGATTCCACCGCTGAGGACCAGTATCCAAACACCAGCACAGACTATGGCTGAATTTCTTCTGGTCCTAATGGTACGGGATCGGAACGGATAGACGATTGCAAGGAAGCGGTCAACGCTGATGCAGGTGAGGAACAGCATGCTCCCATAGATGTTGGTGAGAAACGCCGTCCCAGATATCTTGCACAGGCTGTCTCCAAAAGGCCAATGCCTGTTGAAGTTATAAAAGATTTTAAAAGGCAAAGTGAACACAAACAGCAGATCTGAAACCGCCAGGTTTGTCATGAAGATGGCTGTTTCGCTCCGCATCTTCATCCGGCAGCAGAAAACAAAGAGGGAAGCGCAGTTAGTGATCAGACCGAGGATGAAGACCACGCTGTACACGGCTCCGTACAAGTTGTACTTAAAGGAATCATCTGTCAAACAGGTATGGTTGTTGCTGTGGTTTCCCATGCCAAGTCTGTGGTGTGCTTCCGAAGAGTGTCAAAGTCTACTTCAGTGCCATCCATAAAATAAGGCAGTCACCTCTTTTCTTCCTGATGAAACGCATTCCAGGAAGGTTGCTTGAATCCTTGCTACCATGTCCTCATTGTGCATCCTTTCATCCTAAAAGGGGAGAGAAATAAAAGCCGTCAGTTTTGCCATCTATTGTCACCCTGCATGTCTGTGCTAGAGAGTATTTGTGCTTTCCTTTCCAAACGTTCATACAGGACCAGTGATCAATTTACAGCCAATCTTTATAAATTGTTATGAATTCCACTATTACTGGAACTTATCAAAGCTGGACACAGCAGTTTCTGCTCTTGGTTTTGCTTTGCTCCCCCGTCTTCCTGTTGGAAGGAGAGTGACAGCCAATTCCAATATTCCACCTGGAAAGGCTTTTCCTTAAAATCTGAGATGGATTTGACCCACTCTGTTTGGAAAGTCATCATGGGCTGCAATATTCAGGCTGCTGTTTGATTCTACACCCAGGCCACTGCTCACGTAAGCGTGTGACAAGAGAAGAAAGGAGCTGAAAATGTCAGTGCTTACTCCGAACTGTGCAGGAATGAAGCTTCTATGGTTTTGCAACTTCTTTAAATGAAAAAAACATTAAGAACCTGGACTGACAAAGTGCTCTTTTGCCTTTTTTCTACCTGAAAGTAGGAGCGTTTTTGTGCAGGTATTTCGATGCGCAGAACTGAAGTGTTGCACTTCAGAAACATTTTGCACAGAGCACTTTCCAAGGCGAGGCGATGCTTGCTCCTTGGGAAAATGCTGGGGTTTCCATTCTGCAAATTTTCTGCAAAAGTGATATTATTTACTAAAAGGATTTTGTTCTAAAGCACAAAATGCTTTGCAAAAAGGACTCCTCTCTAAGCTGCACTGACAACTTCATTTTATTTCTCTTCCTTGTCACCTTTCTGAACTTGAAATCTGGGAAATCCCATGAGCTGCACTCCTGTAGGACTCTATCCCAATTCAGTCAGCTCTGGGGAAGTGTGCAGTTGAAATAAGCATGTTATTTGTTGGAAGTAAGAGCTTTCTGAACCATCTTGGTGTTATCCTCCTGGGACAATGCCAAGTGTTGGAGGCCTGTGAGCAGAAGCAATGGGGAAATCTCATTAACCAGCATGAGAAGGGCTTGTGGGCTGGGATGGGGGCATGCCTTGGTGGTGTGAAGCTGGGTAACCAGGGTGGGGACCTTTGACTTGTTAAACACAGCAAACTGAATCCAAAACAGTTTGTCACTCTTTTGTAATTTGTAATCTAGGAAACGTCTTAGTAACTGCAGCTATTGAGTAACTTGGAGATGAAACCATTGTGAACTGTAGGACCTGTTCCAGAAAGTGATTGATAACGTGTTACAACAGCAAACACATAACTGAGCAGGCTGGTGTTAAAGGTTGGAATGGCAACGGTGTAAACAAACAAACGGAGGGAGAAAGCATGGAATTGAGACCATTGAAGATGCAAACAGATCAAAATCAAATGTTTTCCATATGTTTCTCCTACCAAACTCACGCTAACAATAGTTCCTGCGGGCTGTCAGTGAGCCAGCTGCTGAACTGCCAGCTGTGGAGGGATGCAGCACGGACTGGCTGTGCTGACAGCCTGGCAGCACGGGGCTCGCTGTGTGCTATGAGCAGCATCCTGCCCAGAGACAAGTGGGTGTGAAGCCAGGAAGGGAGGATCCCTTGATTTCACTCATCAGATGGCTTTGAGCGGCTTCAAGCTTTTTGGTGTCCCAGAAAATGACTTAGGACTATTGCATGGGAGGTTTCTTGCCTGCTGCTCTGTGCTGTGCTGCTGTCCTGCTGGGTTTGCTGTGCATACCTCGAGTTCCCTGAACTGTTGTTTCCATAGATGGCATTGGTACACACCTCAAATTCAGCAAACCTTCCCTCCTTTCTTGTGCATTCTGTGTTACGCGTTTGCAGTGATAACAATATCCTGCCTTAGCAGATACTCAAATCAGGGGTAGATGTGCCTTTATCTGATCGCAGCTGATTGTGTGACAATGAGAAATGAGATGAAATGAGATAAAAGCCCACAGTGAGGCTTTCCTTCATGCATGTGTGGACTGACAGCAGGAGTGGGCTGTGCAGGGGAGCAGCGTGATCTGAGGCCCTAAGGGCTTCTGCACTCATCTCAGCCTTTTTCCTCCTAACTTATGGCTAAATGAACATCATTGTGAAATGACTTAAGAAAACAAACACTTAAAATTGCTATGAGAAGGGCAGTAACATTTCAACAGTGCACTTTTTTTATTATTATTTTTTTTAATGCATGGTAATCTAAACAAGCAGAGTCTCACCTACCAGTTGAAATGCTCCTTGGCAAGAACTTAGCTGTATTCAAGAGCAAACATTAGCTCCAACAGGAATACTTGTGCCTCTTAGTTCCAACCTCAGCTTAACACATTAAATAACTCATCCAGTAATGAAAGAGGCAGTGTGTTATCTCCATCAAGAGCAAGTTTGCTGAAGTGTAACCTCTATGGCACCTCTTCTCCTGCTGTGTGCAGAACCCAGGTGTGCTGGGCTCCAGGTCTGAGAGAGGTTTGAAGCTCGCTGGGTGCCTGCGCAGTGCTGTGCTGGGGTTGGGTGGAAGCTCTGCTTTGCATTCTGTGCACACACTGCGGGATTTTGGCTGCTCCTCAAAGCACAGCTGGGTGCAGCAGGTTTAAAAGACAGCTTTGAAATCCTTACCTTCACTGCTGGCATATGTGGTCCCTGCCAGCAGCCTAACCCAGATGCTTAGAGCACAGGAGAAAAGGAGCTCCATCAGCTGGTTATTTTTCCTTGCTCTGCATCAGACGACCACAGGGACAAATACAGCTTCTCTGCTGTATAAGAACTGCCTGCCAGCAATTGTCCAGCCAGGTTATGCTCTTGGAAATATAAGCGTGTGTTGTTTACCTACCTATCCCTGCAGGGTTTAAACAAGCTGACAAGACTGAGCCATGTGCTTTATATTCTGCAGCATCGCTCCACAGGTTTGGTTTTCTGGATGTAAGACGCTCTGCTTCCTTTTCACCAAGGATTAAAGCAACAGGATGCTCTTCATGTGCATCACATTCACTACTGCTGCTTTGCTGGGAGAACTGGTGGTGTTAAAGGCTCTTCCAATGCGTCGTTCAGTCAGCTCAAAGCTTTGATTGCTGTGCCCAAAATGGGCTCTGTGGGTGAGGGAAGGGCTGTGTCAAGCTGTCAGGAGTGGCACCATCACGGAATGCACAGCCTGGCTCACGTGGGGATGTTATCAATATTTCTTCTTGTAGAGGGGATGATACAGCAAACCCAGAGCAGCTGTCTGTCGCATAACCCCCTTATTCTCATACAAAGTAGGGTTCAGGGTTTGCTCACATCTGCCTTCTGCTGCAGAATCCCTGCCTTTTGCATACTAAAAACAAAGGAGACCTATGCCTTCCTTCCCTTGGCACACAGCTATCCTATCCCATTTGGGGTTCTTGTTTCTGCCCCCTTGCACACCAAGAAGTCTTCAAAGCATCAGCAGGATTCTGAGCAACCACTGCTTTCGTTCTTTTGGATTTGTTTGTTGTTTTGTACAGAAAATACCTTCAGGTAAACTTTGTAAAACCCTACTTATAGTTCCATTAAGGCCATTCCTTCTCCTTTCACACTCGTCTCATTCTGCGTGCTTCTGTCAAACGGAGGTCAGCAAAACGGCAGTGTGAAATTTGGGACTGACTTTTTGGATCTCCATGTTTTCTCCTCTGTGGTTTTAATAGGAGATACCAGAGGCAACACTGATTTGTGGAAGATGTTGGGCACCCCGTGTGCTCTCATATCCATAGCTGAGCACTGCAGAGCCGTTCTGTCACCGTAAGTGGAAACGTTTCAAACCTGAAGGACCTTTTTGTTTTGTCTAGAAATCCCTCTAGATTGTGGCAGCACTTGCTGTGTTTTGATACCAGCTCAGCCTCTCACCTTGGAAATAAGTGTTCCACGCATGCTTTATGCCTTCCCTTGAAAAGAACCACAGTCATCAGAGAATTTATATCCCCTTTATCTGGGTGGTACAGTCACTGTATGGGATGGTTTGGTTAAGTCTGTGTAATCACTGAGGTTGGTGACCTCCAACACCATCCAGTCCTAATGTCCACCCAGCCATAAGGCCATAGGACTTATTCCAGTCCATTTATAGGTACTGTAGGGGGGTGAGATACACCACAACTGTGTTAAGTGTGAAATATATGGATAGAAACAGCTGTTTTCTAGCTGCAGAGGCCATCATTTGTGCTAATTCTATAGCAACACTACTGGGCAATCATGCCACCAAAACGGTTAGCTCTGAAGGCGTACAAATATTAGTTTGAAAACTACAACAAGTGAACTCAAAGCAAGTGAAGCAGCAGTGAAACGCAGCAGTGCTGTCTCGCGCTGAGCTCAAACTGCTCTGCTGCCTGCAATATCTGTAACCACAGCAGGATCCTGGCTTCCCAGTCCTGCCTCCTTTCAGCAGAAGCTTTGCTGGTTAGCTTTGCACGTGAGGAGAACTCTGTGAGCGTTAACTGGAAGGAGTTTCTGGGGAATCTATTTGCTGTCTTTGTGAGGCTCCATCCCCCTGTTCCTCTCGGTGTGGGCTCATGGCATGCTGTGATGTGACAGGTGCCATTGGCAGACCCCACTGCAGCACCATCTGCTCGGTGATGGGGCACCACGTTCAGGTCTGGTTTCTGAGCTGAGCAGCCTGCAGGGCTGCTTTGTCCTCTCCATCCTCCCCAGCACCTCTGGTAGTCTGATGTACCCCGTGCTAAGGTGGGAGCAGGAGGAAGGTTGGGTTTGGCAATGGGAGGCAGCAGCTGTCTGTAAGCACCGCGCTGCTGCCTGCGTGAAGTGAGGAAGGCAGAAATGCTTTCGTTTCTTTTGTTGTGTCTGGCACCAGTAGGAAGGAATTAGATTGAAGTGTGAACTACAGGTCGGTAGGCTTCTGTAGCTTCCAAGGGCCATTCTTCCCTGGGTTAATCTGTCAGAGCAAATGCCTCAGTTGTGCTGGGTGAAAAGAGGATGATGTTTGATGATTAGCACAGAAGGTGGGCAGCAAGGCTCTTATTCATGGCTCTGACACTCACAGTGCCAGGGTCTGCACTGCAGCGTTAC